TCTGGAGGCATCGCTAGCCTATGTGGACGTAGAAGAAGCGGTGTACAAAGCAGAAGAAGGCGCTTTCACACTTGAAACTTAATTGCTTTGATTCGCTGAAACTCTCGTACCAGCAGTCGCAGTGATGTCTTCTATCCAGCATCAGACAGTGCCATGCAGGTCCAGCTTTTGGATCTTAATACTGTTCGTTGACGATTACACGGAGAATTTGCGATTTTGTTTTTTAATTTTCGTTTTCTTGGCTTTTTCTTTTACTGTGTACGAAAGGCGATAACTGGCTACTTTTGCTGATTACCCAGTAGAATTGGATAGAGTGCTGCCTGGAGTTTCATTGCTGTGTATTATTAGTTACGGTTTCCATTTGAATTGCTTTCAGAACTTTTACTGCTTTACAGATAGATAGCTTACCATCGCATATCATCGAATCTGAAAGATCATGGAACTAGAAACAGCTTTATATTTTTCTAAGTATTTACTCTTTTCGTAGAATATGTATTCTAGCTTGCAACATTCGGTGACCGCTCCCTGTGTTAAAATGACGTGTCAGAGATTGCACCATTAAGGCGAAGTTCTTTCCTTGCCTCCCAACCCTTCCCCCAGTTGGAATTATAAAATACAAAAGTAAAACAAAAGATGAGTCATTTTTCGATGAAATTCCAACTGAACATCGGCAAGCGGTGTTCCCATCGGAGATCGGATCTCTGACAAGAATCCGATTCTCCGTTTCCAAACCACTTTTTCCTCCGCCAACTTTCCCATCGTAGATTGAATTTAAGACGACACATTCCATCCCAGTTTCTTATGGCATCCATTTTGTTATTTTGGATGAAGGCCGTATCTGAAATTGTAAGGTGTGCTATCTGTTTTCCATATATAAGACGGACGACCCGATAGCTCGGGGTTTACTTATATCATTCAACTTCGTTCACCAGCTGAGTGCCCTGCATCAATTAATCCAATCACGTTACCATCGGTGATTCGTCAATCGCTTATTTTGTCCCGTGCCTTTGTCTAATATGATAAATTCTCTTTTATCGGCGTGGAGGTCTTAAAAACAAGCTCCATTTCGCCAAATACTTCCCTCCCACTGTAACAAACTGTCGCCGCCTGATACACTTCCTGTCCACATAACCTCCGCTCTTTCCGGTTTTTTATGTATTCCACGTTGTGTTATCGATTCACTTTTCCCCTCAGCTTGCATATTCGCTTTTACAATTAAGGGAAATTACTTGGAATTTGGAAAGTCGCGGCTCGGCGTTAAAGTAAACAGCTCGAGTCTGTCCAAGTAATTTAATCTCTATGCTCGAGTAATCTGCAGCAGGAGAGGGGGGTGGAGTTTAGGTGCGGGACACGCCGTTGCATAGCGTCCCGTTGAGTTTTATTTTGTGCTTTACTGGTGTGGCGTGCGGCTGCGTTGCGCTGCCGCTCTACGCAGTGCGGTGGAACGCGTGGAGGTGGCAGTGTTTCTGCGTGTTGTTGTACGTGAAGGGGAAGGACGGGGAGCGGGCGGGGCAAAGGAGCACTTCTTGCGGAGGGCTTTGCGAATCCCTTGATATGGGGCAGAAAAAAGAAGACCGTGGGAATTCATACGGTTTCCTCTTACAGGAGGAAATTGTGCGAATACATTCGGATGTAAGTGCAGGGAGCTCTATTAAAATTTAGTTTCCGGAGTCGTGTCATTTTAAGCAAATTCATTGACATGGATAACGAGGGGATTAGGAATGTTTGCCATTTCATAACGGACTGACCAAATCGACAGGGACACCACCGACGAGATTCTCATTGAACTGGCAGAAGAGACATGCGCTTAAATTGGTGTGATTGATAGTTTTCGGCTAACATGGCGTTATCTGTTGAATCACCGACAAAAAAAAAGGAAGTCAGAGGCGTATCTGCTGCATGTTAGTTTTACTTTTCCTTCTACTGTTGCATCATTAATCTTCTGTACAGTCACCTTTATTTCCCTGCTTTCCTTCGTCTTCCTTCGATAATCCACATGTTCCTTTTCAAATGGTTAAATACTGATGATTCCCGCCCCATTCCGTACCGATTCTGCCGTCTGTGTTTACAGCTCAGGGACGAAACACAGACACGATACCAACTCAATATACATACAGGTTTGCTTATCTGGAAGATCTAAATGGCACTTCCAGTTTTTCCTTAACTGTAAAAATTCGATTGTGTTCCTTCCCACGATGAGTCGATAACACCAAACAAATTGCGTTTGTTAACACATATAAGACTTGAGGCCCCAGTCCTTTTCCAGTCCTCTAGCCAGAGATATTCATTGTTTGCAGTTTTAAAATTTCTGAAACACTTGGTAAGTCACAAGTGGTTTGGGGTCCACTTATATCATTCGACTTCGCTCACCGACTGAGTGCCTTACATCAGTTAATCCAGTCACGCTACCATCAGTGATTCGTCAGTCGCTCATTTTGTCCTGTCCTTTGTCTAGTATGATAAATTCTCCTTTGTTGTTGCTTTAGCCTAGCACCTTAACTGGTTCTTTCGCTCCAGCAGCACATTTACATGCGAAGCCAAAGCTCCTCTTTTAACTCATGTTTCATTACCTAGAGTTTGAAGGATTTGTGTTTAACTTCTGTATTTGGCGCTATTCAGTTCCATCTCTGCCCGGTATTTTCCAAAAACGGGGAGCACACTTTTTCCTTTATCATTGTTGTAGCTTTATTCAGCGCGCCAGTCCTTTCGTCATTGACGAGTAATCTTCTGAACTGTTTTTCTACAAATGCAGTTCTCTGAGTAACTGAAAAGTTTTCGCTGGCGTCCGCAGTTCCTGGTTGGCGCATCGCGGAAACTAGACGAAATTGGTTGCGCATATGTGGTAACAGGCGAACATTTTTCTGAGTAAAATCCTTGTTTGCTGTTATTCTTGCGCTGCAGTTCTCTTTGCTGGCAAACTTATCTACCTTAGAAATTTTGCTTATTTAATGGTGCAGTTTTCTGCTAGCTCTTCGCGTTTATTCCATCTGTTGTTCATGCCTAATCATGCCTATGTATGTGTCCTTCGTTGTAATGTGTAGTGCCTGTTCATCTGTTGTTACATGGTGAGCTTGTGAAAACCGCAGTTCCAGTATACACTGATATATTACATAACACTACATTATATAATATTATAACATACTGTTATCATTAGTCTCTCTGTGATAATGCACATCTCTCTGTGAATATTCGTCATTTTTAGTTAGCATTTGTTGGTTTTGTACATGTTGTGACCAAGATTCGATTTGTGATATTTAAAGTTATTTAAAGTTAACAAATATTTAAAGTTAAGTGAAAATTTTGTTAGAAAATGTAGAAATGGATTATAGAAAAGGTCAAAAAAGAGTAAAAAAGAGGAAAGATGTAAAAAGAAGTAATAAATTAGTCATACGCATTTCCATTAAGTCATATACATTTCTTACCGTTATCACAGTCGGACCTCGTCAGTACGACGATTTTGTGAATCATTTGAAAGTATGCTGCCTAGAACATGCACACATCGCACATAATCAAGCAGTGCCATATTCGCGAAGGAGCATAGCGTAATAACAAAGATCTGGAAAAAGAGGTTCAGTGTTTTTCAAAGGAAACTGTAGCAACTGCATAATTTTATGTGTGATGAAACTGTGGGCCGCTGTTAGCGTTGCCGAGAATGAAGAATGATGACAAATTGTTTTTACGAAGAACGGGATATCTTATTGGGATATTTTAATAAATTTTTACTGCAAAAGTAAGCAACAGAGCAGCTGATAACGATTTCGCGTTTATTTCTTAATTGCAGCAATGGCACTGTTGCCATTTTTTGCTGCTTTTTTTCGACCCTGATCTTTGCTCACCCAGAAAACTAGCAGTATTATCTTCTCTTCGCCGTAGAAACATCTGAGTCATTTTTGTGCGTTTTTGCTGCCTGTGTGCATGTTTGCGCGTGTGTTTGTCGGTCCGGGTATTTCGTCTCAGCAGCCAAGCAAACTCCAACGCCAAAATTTCGCCAGTTGTCTCCCCGGCTAAGCGCTACCCTAGGAACGTGGCATCAACTCTCACGCACGTCTGGACTCCGGTTGCGGGCGCGTGAAAGTTTTGAAGGGAAAA